CAAGAGCGAGACCCCCATCTCTACTAAAAATAGAAACAAATTAATTGGCCAACTAAAAATATATAGAAAAAATTAGCTGGGCATGGTGGTACATGCCTGTAGTCCCAGCTACTCGGGAGGCTGAGGCAGGAGGATCGCTTGAGCCCAGGACTTTGAGATTGCTGTGAATTAGGCTGATGCCATGGCACTCTAGCCTGGGAAACAGAGTGAGACTCTTGTCTCAAAAAATAAAAAAATAAATACTAATACAAAACAAAACAAGCAAGCAAGCAAGCAAACAAAAGCCAAACTGAACAAATGGCAACATTTATCTACAAGAAGTAAGAATACTGTAGTTCCAGCTACTTGGGAGGCTGACTCAAGAGGATCACTTTGAGCCTAGGAGTATGAGGCGCTGCAGTTAGCTATGATGATGTCACTACACTATATATACCCAGGCAACAGAGCAAGACCCTGTCTCAAAAAAAAAAAAAAAAAAGAAAGAAAGAATAAAGTTGGAGTTAATCACCTTAAATTTCTGTTTCTAAACAGAAAAGTTTCTATTTCAGTAACAGTGAGCAGATACTCCATCTATTGAAGGAAAGTAAGGAAGGGAGATTTTACATTTGAATTGCAGGGAAACATGCTAGAGAAAATACTCTCATTCTAAGAAATAGATAATTGCAGATGCTAAAGAAATAAACAACTGCCTTTCTAGAAAACTAGAAAGTAAAGGAAGGTGGTAGGCACTTCAAAAATCCCTTTAACTCGGGCGTGGTGGCTCACACCTGTAATCCTAGCACTCTGAGAGGCAGGAGCATTGGTCAAGGTCAGGAGTTGGAAACAAGCCTGAGCAAGAGTGAGACCCCATATCTACTAAAAAATTAGAAATAAATTAATTGGCCAACTAAAAATATATAGAAAAAAATTAGCTGGGCATGGTGGCGCATGCCTGTAGTCCCAGCTACTCGGGAAGCTAAAGCAGGAGGATCGCTTAAGCTCAGGAGTTTGAGGCTGCTGTGAGCTAGGCTGATGCCACGGCACTCTAGCCCGAGCAACAGAGTGAGACTTGGTCTCAAAAAAAAAAAAAAATCCTTTAAAATATTCTACATAATTACAAAAAGCATTAAGCATTCACCTCCACAAGTCGAACACTGTTTCTGAACAAGTTTTAACAGAAATTACTGAATAGTCATTATGCACCACCTTCTGAAAAGTGTCGCTAATAAAACTAACTGTTGTTTTTTTATTATCCTGTTTATGCTTATTTGGGCAAATCTCTTAATCTATAACCTAGCTCCAGTGGTAAAATACTGTATTAAGAATGTTTTTAGGATTTCTAGGTAATGGCAAAATAGCAACCAGTAAGAAAAAGGAAACAAGCTTTTAAAAATGTTAAGACAATGAGTAAAAATATGCTGTGCAAATCATGAAAAATAAATCTTAAAAGACAGTAAAGCTATGGAAAAGGGATACCTGGTATCAGAATCACATGAGGAGCTTTTTCTACAATACATATGTTCATATTCTCAATATGAGTCATAACTTTTGAAGTGAAAATATACCGTATGTACCTATAAAATCTCCAGGTAGTTACACCATCAAGTTACCTCTTAACTCTCCCCAGTTGCCATCTGAAATTAATAAACTAAAGATATTATTATATCACTGATAATAAGAGGAAAATAATACTGATAGAATCTAAATATGGCTTAAATCAAAAAAGGCACAATCCTTGCTTTTTTTGAGCATATAATCTAAAGTAAAAGAACAGATAACATAACAAGATATACAAACAACATTTACACATTTTCAAGAACTTTTTATATTATTACGTTAGGAAGATAACATATAAATATGGTTGAAATTATATATAAATTAGGCCGGTGGCTCACGCTTGTAATCCTAGCACTAGGGGAGGCTGAGATGGGTGGATTGTTTGAGCTCTAGAGTTCAAGACCAGCCTGAGCAAGAGTGAGACCCTGTCTCTACTAAAAAAATAGAAATTAGCTGGACAACTAAAAATATATACATAAAAAAAAATTTGATCAAGGATACTAGTGACAATAATATTAATAGCCAGAAACTTATCACAAAGCTTTGAAAGAAGAAAGCTCGGACGTCAGCTTGATTCTTTCACGTTTACACAGAAAATATTCCTTAAACACTGACGGGGAGTAGAGGCCCATCCAATGTTCTCAAATTTCCAAGAATAATTCTCCCTCATCTGTTGGCTGGTAAAGCTGTAGTGACATTATATTTCTTGACAGTTTATACAGATAAGCAGAAATGAGGGACCTGAGTTTTTTTTTTGTTTTTTTTTTGAGGCAGAGTCTTGCTCTGTCACCCAGGCTAGAGTGCAGTGGCATCATCAGAGCTCACAGCAGCCTCAAACTCCTGAGCTCAAGTCATCCTCTTATCTCAGCCTTCCAAGTAGCTGAGGCTACAGGTGCACACCACAACACCTGGCTAATTTTTCTATTTTTAGTAGCAATAAGGTCTTGCTATGTTGCTAAGGCTGGTCTCAAACTCCTGACCTCAAGCCATCCTCCCACCTTGGTTTCCCAGACTGCCAGGATTACAGCTGAGAGCCACTGTACCTGGCCAGGGACTTGAATCTTTAGAGATCTGAGCCTAGATCCAATAGGATATGAATGAGCCCTTGCCTTACATAAAACAGAGCTACTTTGAACTTTTGAACAGCCTCTGTGAACTTTTAAACAAGGCCACAATTTATAAAACACAATCAGATATTCCTGCAGGTAACTATGCTAAATATGAAGTAAGAAATTCAAAGTTCCAAGGTCTGGATCTCAGGCTTCTAAATTAAGACAATCAAACATACATGACTCTTCTTCCACCCACCTGCAGGCCTATACAAACATATATTCTGCTTGAAAAATATAGAATATAAACATCAAAAAGAGAAGGAAGATAACTATTTGTAAAGGAAGGCCCTTCCCTTTATATTATATAAAGGTAGTATCTGAAGACAATAATTATAGAACTGATAAAGGGAAATGGAATAAGATAACATCCCCACATTCCAACCCCTAATCACATGTTAGAATTTAGAGACTATCCATGAAAATCAGGACTAAAAAGTCATACTGAGGCCGAGCGAGGTGGCTTATGCCTGTAATCCTAGCACTCTGGGAGGCCGAGGTGGGAGGATCACTCAAGGTCAGGAGTTTGAGACCAGCCTGAGCAAGAGCAAGACCCCGTCTCTACTGAAAATACAAAGAAATTAACTGGCCAACTAAAAAGATATAGAAAAAATTAGCCGTGCATGGTGGCACACACCTATAGTCCCAACTACTCGGGAATCTGAGGCAGTAGGATCGCTTGAGCCCAGGAGTTTGAGGTTGCTGTGAGCGAGGCTGACGCCACAGCACTCTAACCTGGGCAACAGAGTGAGACTCTGTCTCAACAACAACAACAACAAAAAACGTCATACTAAAAGGGCATTCTATCATAAATTCTGCAAATGTAGAAGCAATCATTTTTATATATTTGTAGAAAAAGTGATCAGTGGGTGCTCAATAAATGTTAGTAATACAAGCCTATGCTAATAAGCTTTCATAACAAAGAACAGACAGCTATAAAAAGAGGAATGTTTTTTGGAAGCACAATTAATCAGAAATTAATGGAGATTTGGAAAGTTGGCAAGGATAGTAAGATAAATATCTTTTATCTGACAGAGTCAAAGGACATAAAGCAGATGATTAAATAATTAAAAGCACTGTTCCCCTAAGAATATAGACAAAGGGAGATACTGGGGGAAAAAAGCAATGAAGGTTTAATAATGAACAAAACTGCAAGGAAATTTAAGTGGTTATCTATTATATGGATTTGAAAAGACAACCTAGAAAAATATTAACTTGAAAAACTGAAGAGAAAAATAAATGTACTAATACAGAAATCAAAAGAAGAATATAAATGCAAAATTACCACCTACATCTCAGTACAGCACATGAAAATTTTTCTAATCAAGGAGACCAAAAGTATGTGCATGGGTCCAGCATAGATGCATCCCTTGAAACATTCAAAGTTTACAGTTATCCTTAGAATCACACTCCTATCAAAAGACAAAAGTGGCCCGGTACGGTGGCTCACGTCTGTAATCCTAGCACCCTGGGAGGCCGAGGCGGGCGGATTGTTCAAGATCAGGAGTTCGAAACCAGCCTGAGCAAGAGCAAGACCCCATTCTCTACTATGAATAGAAAGAAATTAATTGGCCAACTAATATATATAGAAAAAATTAGCCGGGCATGGTGGCGCATGCCTGTAGTCACAGCTACTCGGGAGGTTGAGGCAATAGGATTGCTTGAGCCCAGGAGATTGAGGTTGCTGTGAGCTAGGCTGACGCCACGGCACTCACTCTAGCCTGGGCAACAAAGCAAGACTGTCTCAAAAAAAAAAAAAAGAGACAAGTTTCTAATAATGCTCAAGGCTACAGTCATAGAAAACTGTCCTTAAAAACATGTGGGACCCACTTCTAAGTTCAGGTTTGCTTATTATGCTAAAAATAGGCTTGATGAGAAAGTATAATGATTAAATGAGCATCCTCTGAGTCTCCACAGTTTGTAAAATCTAAATTGAGACTGTATCTCTAGTGATAGTAGGAAACCAGTGAAGTAGAAGCTCCAATAGACGGATGGGGTGGGGGTGGGAAAGGTGGGGGGATGGGGCTGGCAGTTCAGTGGGGCTAGGGGTTGAAGAGAAGAGGTCTTTATGGAGAACTAAATTACATGGACATTAGAAGATACAGATTATCAAATGTTCTCTTTTCTGAGATTAAGAAGAATTAAAGAAACATAAAAATATAAACATAAAGTAAAACCTGTCTCCAGCTAAAAGATATACAAAGAAACAAGGAGGAATGATAATTCCTGCTACTTTTTTTAAAAAGTTAGAATAGCGCACAGAAAGGGGAAAAAAAAACCCTTCACGTTCAGTTTCTTGCCATTAGAAACAAGCTGATCATGTTCCTTTTGCCCTTGAAGAACACCAAAACCTACCATGTGGTAATGTTATGTTTGCACCATCAATGATTGCTTGTGCCAGTTCGTGATCATTGCTCTCAAAAGCATGTGCAGCAGCCTTCAAGGCATCCCAAATCTCTTTACGACCTTCAAAAGCTGGTGCAGTATCCCAAAATTCGTCCCTCTTGCTGCGCAGTTGTCCATCTGTCATAGGATAATCACTTTTCCATTTTGGTTTCTCCTTTTTCAAAGGCTGGTTACGACCTAAAGCAACTGAGAAGAAAAATAAGAGACTGAGATCAGAACCAAAATTTACAAAAGATGTATCAAAAGTTATCTGGTCATTTGGAATCTGCTTTTGGATTCTTTCACCAAAACTACAGTTAGAATTTTGCCTACTAGCTAATTTTTCCATTCTGAAATTCCCCTAACTCATTTTGAACTACAAGAGCAAGTGGAAACATAAGATGGCTCTATGAAAAACTTCTAAAAATTAGTAGCTCTTTTCCACTCAGTATGCCTTCTCCAAAGGATGACTAAAAAGAAATACAGTTATAATGAATTTACCACTCTAGTGGAGCACATTGATAATGGGGAAAGCTGTACGTGTGTGAGGGCAGGGAGTATAAAGGAAATCTCTTGTACGTTCCTCTAAATTCTGCCATGAACCTAAAACTGCTCAAAAAACTAAATATCTTTTTAAAAAATACAATAGAAGTTTTTGTATGTTTTAGAAGAACTGCCTAGAAGAATAGTAGTAAGTTTTTCAACAGACTATAATGGCAGGGTATAAGAGTCAAGAGATACCATAAAAGAGAGACAAGATACACAGGGAAAACCAATGGCAACAGTAGCTTGAATCTCAGGACCTTTGGACACAAGAAACCAGGAAGCAGGAACTTCCCCTTTCTGGACTTCGATAAAGGAACTGTGAATACCTTTCTCTGAAATGCAAACAGGAGATAATTTACAAAGGGCTAGGAGAGAGGGTGAATCAGTACTTCACTTTTAGGGAGGAATTAGGAATGGAAGACATAAGCCTGATACTGGCCAAGGAATAAGGTTCCAACCATAAGGAGCAGAACTACAATACCCTGCTCTAGTTTCAACCCAAGAGAAGAAATCTGAGAGGGCAAGTCTCCCTTTGTCCCTAAGTGGCAACATCTTAGAGAATGTTACATAGTAGTAGTGCTAGAACAAGTCTTTGCACCAGATACTTATGGGACATATATATGATCACTAATCTATTTCCATGGGTCATACTGACCTACAGAGCCATAGATAAGAAATAATTTGATAGATGGGAGAAGAGGTAAAAAGAAAACTGAGGACAGGTGGCATAATGGCTCATGTCTGTAATCGCAGCACTCTGGGTCGCTGAGGCAGGAGGATCTCTTGAGACCAGGAGTTCAAGGCCGCATGCAGTGAGTTGTAAGTTATGATGGCCCCACTGCATTCTAGCCTGAGCGACAGAGCAAGACCCTGTCTTTTAAAGAAAAGCTGCATGAAAAGATAAAGAGAGAGAGTAGGTGGGAAAGAAATGACAGAGCGGGTGGGAAGAGAGGGTGTGTGTCAAAATTCAGTGTTCTATATTTAATTACAGAAAGAATACCAATTTAAAAGAAATTACTCTCAAAATGGGTATAAAGCATCCATGAAATTAAGCTACTCCCTCATTTGGCCCAAGGACAAATGAAATCTGGGCTATGCAAAAAAGAAAATAAGATGACTCCAGCCCCTGGGCAATCCATGCCGGATCCAGGCTATACTCCTGGATGACAGGACCAACTAATGCTGCAGAGTGTGTCTGGTTGGACACACAGATTAAACCATACTCTCTTAGCCCAATCTGGCCACTTGAAGGCGGCCACATCAGGTTTCTTCAGTCCTCCCACTTTCAGGGTGGTACACCGTGCCACCACTAGCTGTTTTCTACTTAAATCATTCAGCATTAACTCAAATATTTTTGGCCCTCTACTTGTCCTAGTGAAATGCAAAACAGATGAGTTCTAAAAGGGTATGGCCAGAATAGAAAAACAATCCATTTAGTGGCAGAACTAAGAAACAGAATCCAAGTCTCCTTACTTAATCAACAAATATATACTGAATGTCTATTAAGGGTAACACTACATAGATGTGACTATTAGGCTTAATTCAAACGTGAGAAACAATCTATACTAACGACTTTTCCTGGTGTCTTCCAAATAATACAGATAAACACAGATAGAGTGTAATTCTTTAAAAAGTATTCAGAATACATCCAATAATCATAATCCACCCATGATTCCACTAACAAGATGAAATGCAAGGTATTTATTTTCTGCTACATTACTATTTAGATAAGTTAGAAACAGTTTATGGACAACACTCAGGTTACTGTGCAGGAAGTAGAAGAGAGGACATGGTAAGTAGGTAGATACTTACTTGAATAAAGTTTGGGCCTACCTGAGTAATTCCAGAGAATTATCTAGCCTTATACGTATTAAATGTACCAGACAGATAACTTGGTATAATTTTTCCTATTATTATGAGAGAATCACAAGGCACAAGCAAACAACAAAACCTCCACAATCTCAGAAAATAAAACTAAAGCAAATTGAGAGAGGCCCTGAAACAGAGGAACCCAACAGAAAAACAATCTTATAATAAGGGTACAAAATACTTTGGAAAAAGTAAAAGCATCTTCCTTACAGATGTGAGGTAGATTTAATTCACCTCTATTTATACTAAGCACAAGAACAAAGTTCCATAAAAAGGATAGATGATACATTAATGCTTCTTCAAGAGTCATCATTCCAAATGCATTTTCAAATCTATATGCTGTCAAATGTTCCATAGTACTCTGCAAAGTAAGACAAAATAAATGCTTGTGACATGAAGAAAAGCTTACTTTTATTTCTGTTTGTCTCTTTTTCCTATATCATAAACATACATATAACATAGAATATCTGCCTATAGAATGTCCATTACTGAAATGATTAAATCTTTGCAACACAACTTTATTTTAGCAAAACCACTAAGCAGTGGTGAATTTTTGTTACAAAATCTGAGGTTACAAGCTTCATGTTAAACAAAATGAGGTGTCCTGCCTAACTTACCTTTGTTAGATAAACAACAACAACAAAATAAGCATTTAAGAAGAGCATTTAAACTATCCTCTTGTGAAACATGAAAATATTTAGGGCTGTTATGAGGACTTAATAAGTTAATATTTGTAAAGCATCTATAATAATAAATGATATACAATAAAACTGCAAATAAATGTTTGTTAAATAAGTAAAAATGAACTTCGAGGTACTGTATGAAATTTAAAAAAATCTTTAAATACTTATGAAAAATGTACAGGGTAAGTCTTTTTTCTTTTTGTAATTTTTGAACAGAATCTGACATTCTAAGAACTAAACACAAAGTCCCTTCTTTAATTTTTTTTTTTTTTTTTGAGACAAGGTCTTGCTCTTTTGGCCAGGCTAGAGTACAGTGGTGTGACCACAGTTCAATGCAGCCTCGCACTCCTGGGCTTAACCAATCCTCCTGCCCTAGTCTCCTGAGTAGCTGGGAATATAGGCATGCACCACTACACCTGGCTCCCTTCCTTAATTAAAAAAAAGTTCCATGATTGCCATGTACTTCCTGTGCATTTATCAAAATACATTTTCTAGGAATTTGCTCACAGAAACCTTATACTTTGATTTTTGGTGGTTCCACAAACCTGTATTTCTGAAAATACAGTATTTTACACAGAGATCGGCCTAGCAGCCAAGTACCTTATGTCTGTACCAAGTCAAACATTTTAAATTATAAGATGTGAAATACATACACTCAACTAGATTACATTTTATGCTCTTGAACTTTCAGTTTTATCTGTTGCATTATCTTCTGACTCCTGATACCAAAAAAGAGAGTTGCTTGGTATCATTCACAGTATATGGAGCTAAGTACTGTACTCTAACAGTGAAGAATTTAAAGACAGGAAGTATCTTTTATTCGCCAAATTTCTGTTTCTATATCTTAAATTGCAGGCAACCAACCATCCTTGGTTTTCTTCTATGGTTTAACATATAAGAAATAAAAATTTAACAAAGCAATCAAATGTTTTAACTTGGCCGGGCATGGTGGCTCACGTGTGTAATCCTAGCACTCTGGGAGGCCGGTGGATTGCTCAAGGTCAGGAGTTTGAACCAGCCTGAGAAAGAGCCAGACCCTGTCTCTACAAAAAAAAAAAAAAAAAAAGAAAGAAATTAAATGGACAACTAAAAATATATCAAAAAATTACCTGCAATGGGGTGGCATGCCTGTAGTCCCAGCTACTTGGGAGGCTGAGGCAGAAGGATTGCTTGAGCCCAGGAGTTTGAGGTTGCTGTGAGCTAGACTGACTCAACGGCACTCTAGCCCAGGCAACAGAGTGAGACTGTCTCAAAAAAAAAAGTTTTAACTTGCACATAATACTTTTTTCAAAAACATGCCCAGAACTCACTTTCTTCTCAGAAGCCTCTTAATCGTATTCACCTACTCCTATCTTTCCTTGTAACCTTTAAACACTTCTTCCTACTTTGTGACAAATAAGTAGATCTGAAACACAAAAAAATCCAGATAAGACTTGTTTCTCAGATCTAAACACATAATCTTAAATATTTTTACTACACAATTGAAAATATTTTACCAAAAACTTATTTTGACATTTTATTAATCAACAACAATGATCTTCAAAATGAAGTATAATTATAGTTGTTTTCCTGTTCTTGTTTCTCTTTGGAAACCCTGATTTGATGCTAGGACTCTTCAAATGAGAAAAGGAGAGGCCATAGTGCATGGATAAGCTAAACATTTCAAGAAAATAACACAAGCAATACCTTTAACAGATTCAAAACTGGAAGCACTGGTTTCCCTTATACAACAGCCTGAGGAAAAAATTGAATATTTAAATATTAATATTTTGTCAAAGGATAAAATGTTGTTTCAAATAATGCTGTAGCCTTTTGGATCCTTGAGTGTGCCCTTTTGCCTGAATCAAATTTTCACAGAACAAATCCCTTTATTCAAAGGGATTAATAAGATGCCTTATTAAAATAAATTTGTTCTGTGAAATTTGGATTCGGTTGAGGGGCAGCACTTGGGGATCTAGAGGACCACATGTGGCCTTGAGGCCCACAGGTTCCCCATAAGACCATGAAAATGGAGAGGAAATTTTTCTGTCACTCTGGAATTCAGACTAGATAGTACAGAACCCGATAACAGACAGCACTAATCTAAAAAGATACTTGCAAAATATTTTA